TGACAGACACTGATACATATACCTACACACACGCACAGCAATACACTAAAAACGTGCAGAAACCAATAAAAGAAAAAGAAAATACACACACCTACACTACTCAAAAAAACAACACACACAAAAACGTACAGAAGATGTACAAAAGGAAAAAAAAAAAAAACAAGCAGGAAGAGGAAAAATCAGCAAACATACTCACATTTTATTTATATTTTTCTTTCACTCACAAACAAAAGCTGAGGTCGAGGTTCACTTTCGTGATTTCGAGTTCATGATTTCTTATTAGGATTGTTTCCTTTTCGTGAATTGAATTTTCGCAAGAGGTACCATTTAATTTTTATTGTATAATTTGATTTTCATGATTATATAGTGTTTGATTTCAATGTTATGAAGTTGCTCGTGTTTAATCTCAATGTTTTTCATCTTGTACCATATGCTACTATTAATTATCTCTTGCATCCAACCAAAATTTATCAAATACCTAAAAAAAAAAAATCTAATAGTTTGTTTAGTCAACTTCATCTAAAATTAATGGTGGAATGTCTAAAAATTTATTACTCCACTCAATGTCCATAATTTCAAGATGTAATTCCACCATTATGTGTAATAAACTCACACCTCCACCACATCCTCTTTTATCTTCCACACCCCTTAATCTTCCCCACATTCTCAAGAATTAATGTCATGTTTATTGTTATATCTTTATATGTCTTTATGTAACAATATAAATAGAGGTCTTGAGGATTATGTTATGCACTTGAAGATTTGAGAAACACTTGGATATACTTTGAAGAATAAGAAAACTCTTCTAACTTATCTCTCTACATTTTTTGTCTACTTTCTTACTTATATTATTATTTCTTTAGCTTAATTTGAAATATGTTTTGATTCTTAAATAGTCACATCTAATTGCATTTACCTTCTACACTAGAAAAGATGTATTAACACTTTGTAACTGTTCAATGTAATTATATACGATGAAAATTCATTGTCTCCCAATAAGTATGAGATTTGTTACAAACGAATTCAAAGAGACAAAAATCTACGTGAAGACTTCTACTATTAAATATAATTTTGGTTATGAAGCTGGATTTTCAAGGTAATAATTTGCCCACTTCTTTCTTTTTTGGTTGTTTTTGAAGTAGTATAAATATGCAATAGTGTGAAAAAAAATTCAGAGTTTTAAAAATATAATACTTTTCAAGTACTTTATTTTTCATTTTTTTATTTTCAGTTTGTCTTTGATTCATTTAGTTGAAGAAAAAATTGACAATGGTTTAAATTATCTTTATGTCCAACGCGATGGACAGAAAAAGTAAACCTACACTAAGGTATAAAAAACATTTTATTCTTTGCCTTTTTTTTTTCTTTTATTCAATATAAATGCATAATTATTTTATACCTTTCTTTTTATTTATATGTAGTTTATTGATGATTTTTAAGAATTTTTATTTTTTTCTTTTGTTAATCTCATTAGAACTTTTGTTATATATGTTGTATGTTGTTTAATTTATTGATGGAGTTTTAGGATATTTTTTTTTTTCCTTTTGTTAATCTTATTTGAACTTTTGTTGTAAATGATGATGAAGATATCACATGTAGCTATATTCAGAGAATATATTATCACGATCTATAATTATTTTCCATCAATTCTTTTGACTTTATAAATTTTCATCAAATGATATGAGTGATATAAATTTATATTATATTAATCTCATAATGTCTTTTTCTAAAATATTCTTGATTTCTTTCCATGTGTTCATTCATAATACTTAAAAACATTTTTTCTCAATAAAAACTTAATTTTTTTCCATTTGATTTTCAAAAAGAGGAAGGAAAAACCTGACAATACAAAAAAGATCAAAAAACGAATGATTTCAGGAAGAAAAAATAATTGTCAAGACAAAATAATTACAATTTTACCACCATCATTGTCTTAAAGCTTGACTTGTATTAATTAATTAAAAAGGCCAATTATATGCATTGACAATTTTTAGATATTTTTAAGTTAACACATAATTTTATATAGATAGGAATAGATAAGATGATATGATACCTCTTTATGAAATAAAATATTATTTTCACCCTTCTTTCATTTAACACTTTAATTGTGAAATAAATTGAACACGTGATTAAGAAAATTGAAGATTGAAAACATGATTTAGTATTCATTCAAAAACATTGGTACTTAATATTTATAATAGAATGTTCAATGTAAATTTACGAGGAATACGAAAAAATGGGTGAGGTGAAAAGGTTGTAACTCATATGAACTTGTAATGTTAATTAAAATTCAATGACTATGTTAGCATAAATTTACGTTTAAGAAAATGTAATAAATGGTCTTATGAAGTGGCTTTTGAATTTTTATAGCATCTCTTTTTTTTCATGTTTGTTTTGATTTTTTTTCAATATGATAATTCAATTCAATTTATTTTATTAATACGCCATACAATTCCTCTACTGATCTGGATTAATAGCCTATATACCAAGTTAATGAAGCATGCATATTTTTTTCGTTTTCTTTTCTACAAATTCTCAAATAGATTAAACATATTATTTCCGTTATAGTATTACTTTGTGTATTATGAGTTTTGAAAATTTAAAAAACTTCATAACTTAATCAAAGAATTTGAACACCGCTATATTTACACCTACACTCAAATGAAATGCAACATTTCATGAAACATTTTCAATTCATGAATCCAAAATATTAGAGTGGTCAGTATGAGTAGAAAACTGATGAATGTTTGTTTAGTTTATATTCTTTTTTGAGTGATATAATGAAGTGGGTTTTTTTTTTGAAATTTTTTTAATTATTTCTTGAGTAGCAAAGACTAAATATATAAATAAGTTGGGTGGACAAATATATAGTCAAAGGTATGTCAAAAAGCTATTTTTATACATAATTTTTTTTTATATTTGCTTAAAACAAAATATAAATAAAGTTCAATTCGAATCTTCATGGTCAAATTAATATTCAAATAAAGTAAAAAATTTCAGAAAGAAGTTTAATTTATAATTTCTTATGACCAAATGGGCGGTGTAATTTTTTTATTTCACGCGAAGCGCGGTTAAGTTCCCTAGTTTAACATAAGACTTATAGATAAAATTATTAGGTGCGATGCGAAGAAAGACAATTATGTCTCTAAATGTCAAGACCAAGAATGCAGCTACGCATCTAGATTGAGACAAAATAAAAGTTCAACAAAAAATATAAATGCGAACAAATCATGGCCGGTAATAATATATCCAAAAATAATTTAAGTCAAGTATAAGTCAATAAAAGTGACCGTGCTAGAACCACGGGACTCGAGAGATGCCTAATACCTTCCCCTCGGTCAACAAAATTCCTTACCCGAATTTCTAATTCGTAGACCAAAATAAAGAGTCATTTCCTTTTGATTAGGGATAAAAAAAGAAAGGTGACTTGGAACACCAAAACTCAATTCCAAGTGGCGACTCTGAAGAAAAAAAAATCCCTAATCACTAACGTCACTTTAATTGGAAAAACCTTTCCGCCGTGCTGAAAAGGGGTGTGACAGTTATTTGTCAAGAATGACAAAAATTAAAGACCAGCATAAAATAGGGACGGAAGTGCAAATGACCTCATTCAATTCGCTTGATTAGTTCGTTCATCTTTCACACATAAGTGCCATATGACACAAAATTACCCATGTGGAGGGCTTACGTAGGATAAAAACTAATTTTTGTCGATGATTCTAAATAAATATGAAGATTTTTCATGAAAGATTATAGATTCGCATAGAATGTCTCTAGAATTTTTGTTTATTTTTTTTAGTTGAATCATGGGGGGCTTTTATTAATTGGGAAAGATAAATACAAACTCATTTGGGCCTATTACCCAAATCAATCAAATACAGATAAAATTAAGAGCAAAAATGGAAAGAAGCCCCCTTCAGACAAGGCCTCCCTGTCACATTATAGACTATAGTCTAGGGTTTCCAATTTCAGATCTACCATTCCATTTCCTTGAGACCCTCCACACTTACGATAGAAGGTCTCTAGAATATTCTAGGCATGTGGAGAGTTTTAGAGAAGAACCTAAATATATTTATGTAGGGACTTATGTAGAAATTATTATTACACTTTAGCTCCTACATAGGTAACATAAATAGATGGACATTCATTTGTAAAATCATCCGGCGAAAATGAATGAAAATGCTCTACAACTCAATTATTCCTATCAATCCTCTTATGTTCTTTCTACCATTCTTTTAGTGATTCGTGAGCAAGTTTCTTTGTACCATTCTCTTAGCGATTCATGAGCAAGTTGTTAAGTGTCGCACTTGTATTTAGTAGAAGACTAATAACGTGACAAAAATTTCCAAATACTTTTTTTGAGTCTCTATTTAGTTTATACCCATTGCTAAAAAAAATTTACAAATACCCGCTTCTATCATAACTTCAGAGGTACACGATTCCAATCAAAATATTATATTACTTTGGGAATTTTTGTTTGAAGTTTGACCTTATGAAGATAAAAACTTTAACATTTTTGAAGATTTTGATGAAATGAGAAGAAAAATAAGAATTGAAGAAGTTTTGAATAGAATTCTTGGATTACATTATAATGACCTAAGCTATGTATTTATATATCAACTTCCAAATTCCTAACTACCTAACTAACTTCTTGACAATGACACATAACTAACTTCTTGAAATGACTTCACACTTCTTTTATTTTACTATCCTTCTTCTTTTTCATTATCTCAATACTCCCCCTCAAGCTAGGAGGTGCAAATATGATTAGCTTGGACAATAGATAATCATGTTGAGGCTTGTTGAGACCTTTTGTCAAAAGATCAGCAGGCTAATTTTGTGTTGAAATATACATTATCTTGATTAGTTCTTGTTGAAGTTTCTCCCTGATAAAATGGCAATTGATTTCGATGTGTTTAGTACGTTCATGATACACTGGATTAGAAGCTAATTGAATAGTAGACTTGTTGTCACTATAGACTTGAACAGGCAACTGAATTTCAGCTTTTAAGTCTTTCAACATCCCTACTAACCAAAACTAACTCTACTACAGTAGAAGCTAAGCTTCTATACTCAGCTTCATCTGAACTTCTTGACACAATGGTTTGCTTCTTAGCCTTCCAAGAGACCACCGACTCTCCAAGCTTAATTACATACCCAGTCACAGATTTTCTTGTAAGAGGACATGCTGCCCAATCAGCATCACAGTAGGCTATAATTTCAGTTCCACACTTACTAGACAACAATATACCTTGCCCTGGCTGTCCCTTAATATATTTTACCACTCTAAGTGCAACATCCATATGAGACTTTTTTGGTTGATGTAGAAACTGACTCAAGGTTTGCACATTATAGGAAATGTTAGGCCTAGTCATGTTTAAATATAACAGTTTCCCAATCAGCTTCTCATAAGAAGCTTGATCTGTTAAAGACTCATCTTGATTCTTACTTGTTTGATCATCATACTGTCTAAATGTCAACTTTACATTTACATCCATAGGTGTTCCAGTAGGGCCTGAGACCCCCTGCGAATTCGTAAATCTGAGGAGCATGCCGCAACAAAAGGATGGTCCTTTATGCATTTCATTTTTTCCTTAAGGGAAAAAAAAGTACCCCCATCATAGTGAACCTCTCCTTATGATCAGGATAAGGTAGATGCCTCCCAAGCTTTGCTCCTGACAATCCAACTTCAGAAATGAGTTGAAGTCCATATTTCATTTTATGCATAACAACTCCACTGTGTGATCTTACAAACTCTATTCCAAGAAAGTATTTCAACTTTCCTAGATTATTCATTTTAAAACTTTGTTGTAAGCCTCTTTTTGTCTCATCCGCTAGCTTTAAACTACTTTCTGTCACCAAAATATCATTAACATATACCAGAATGATTGTAGTCTCTTCAGATGTTCTTCTTGTGAATAGAGAATGATCATATTAACTTTGATTGAACCCCAGCTTCTTCTGAAGAACCTCTGCAAACTTGTGATTCTATTGTCTTAGTGCTTGTTTAAGCCCATACAATGACTTTTCCAGTCTGCACACTTCATTCTTATTCTCCCCCTGACTGGAAAAACCCTGAGGTACAATCATATAGATTTCATCCTCTAAGTCATCATTCAAAAACGCATTATACACATCCATTTGATGGATATGCCACCCTTTAGATACAGCTAAGACTAGTATGGTTCTTACTGTGACCATTTTTACCACAATAGAAAAAGTTTCCTTATAATTTATACCCTCATTTTGACTATACCCTTTGGCCACTAATCTTGCCTTGAACCTTTCTACTTCTCAATTAGATTTGTACTTAATCTTATAAATTCATCTGCATCCAATAGCATACTTTCCTTTAGGTAACTCAACTAGTTTCCAAGTGTTGTTATCTTGCAAGGCTTGTACTTCAGCTTTCATTGCTTCAATCCACCTTGGTTCTTTACTTGCCTCAACAAAAGTAGCAGGTTCAGTTAGAGCAGCAGTTGTAGCAACAAACTCTTGATATGGTTTAGACAAATGCTTGTATGCTACACACTTATCTATAGGATGTTGTACCTATCTACCCATATTAAGAGACACAAAGTCTTTCATCCACACTGGTGGATGAACTCCTCTTGTAGACCTTCTAGTTCCCACAGACTGAGTATCACCTGTCAAAAACTCATGATCTTTTGTATCTTGACATTGTACTCCTCATTGTACTCTATCTTGTTCAGTGTTATCAGTCTTTTTATCACAACATGTATCCTGTACACACTCATGATGACTATTTTCTTTGTTCACCACTTTGTCACACTCTGACTCCCAATCTATATTCAGCATGTCATCACCCATGCTATTAACAAATGGACCTTCCTCCTTATTAGATGAGAAGGTCATGAATGGAAACACCGACTCCCTGAACATCACATCTCTACTCACAAAAAAACTATTGGTTGTCAAATCTAACAGAATATAAACCTTTTGAGTTTCTGAATACCCCATATGGACAGCAGCCTTAGATCTTGATGCTAGTTTATCACTCTCAGTGAGAACTTTAGCATAACATAAACACCCTAACACTCTTGGATGAGATAACAAAGGCTTTTCACCATATATTTTTTCATATGGAGCCTTACTCCCTAGAACCCTACTAGGCATTCTATTAATCAAATAAGCAGTTGTAAGCACACATTGACCCCAATACCTTAGAAGAATTTGACCTTGAAACCTTAATGCTCTAGTTACTTCTAAGAGGTGTCTATGTTTCCTTTCAGCTACTTCATTCTGTTGTGGGGTGTAAGGACATGACCTCTAATGTATTATACTCATTTCCTTAAGTAGAGTATCACACACAGAATTTATGAATTCAGTCCCATTATCAGACCTTACCTTCCTTACTGTTTTGTCAAACTGTGTCTTTACAAATTACAGAAAATGAGCTAAAGCAGTACACACATCTGATTTGTTTTTCAAAAGAAATAACCAAGTCATCATTGAGAAATCATCAATCACTGTTAGAAAATATATGTTACCATCAAAAGTTGTTTGCTTGTATGGACCCCATACATCTAAATGAATCAAATCAAACACTTGACTACTTTTAATACTGCTAACTGGAAACACATTTATGGTCTGTTTTGCACAAGGACACACAGTACATTTGTTTAACACTTTATTTACTACTTCTGAATTAACAAGAAAAACTTTACTCAGCATATGAGAGGATCCATGTCCTAGTCTCTTGTGCCACATATCCATTTGTTTCTCGGACAATTGTTGTATCTCTAGCTTCTTTTCAGGCACAACACATGACTGATGTTTTAATTGATCTTGTGTCAAGTTCTTTAACAACAAGTACAGACCATCATCCTCTCTACCAACTTCCCTCACCCTGTCAGTGTAAAGATCCTGAAACACACAAAAATGAGGGAAGAAAGTAACTGAGCAGTTTAACTCCTTAGTCACCCTGCTTACTGACAGTAAATTATACTTAAACTCTGGTATGTGAAACACATCTGTAATTACACTTCTTGGAGATATATGACATATTCCTGTATAAGACACATATGACACTTCACCAGTAGGTAAGTACACAGGCTTGGGATCTTTCACCTTGACTACAGATTCTTTATTGAGCATACCAACTTTTGACACCATATGATTGGATGCACATGTATCTATAATCCAAACTTCATTATTTTCAGAAACTAACAAGGCGTTACCTGCAGTATTAGCCTGTGCTTCATGTGTTTGGCCTGCATCTTCAGTTTTATGACCACATCCTTGGTTCTGCTTGAGCATCTAAAGAATTTGGTTGTATTGATCTCTAGTGAAATTGCATCCTTGCAACTGAGTCGAACACTCATCTACATCCCCAGTGTGACCTTTTATAGCCACATTAGTGTTACTCCCATAACTGAAAGAAGGTGTCACGACCCAAGCCTAGGGCCTAGACGTGACATGGTGAATGAGGAACCCGAAGAAACCCCAAACAAGCCTCTCAAACTTGTCATCACACTTCATCGGTCGCGGAAGTACATTCAACATTAATTATCGGGAAATAGGGACTAAGGGCAAACCATTTCAAAATGACATCATAGAACAAGAGTCAAGCTCATTTACAAAATACTTGTCCAACGCACACCTCTACATACATAGATGGGGTGGGGCCATGACATTCTACCGGCTCCCCTCATAGTCAAAATACAATTGCAAGCTAAAGTCTCAAAACATAGGAGTAGGAAACATAACATAGCCCTCGAATCATTGAGGACTCACCAACAAACTCGGATAAGCGTCGTACTAGCCACGTGAATGGAGAGAAGGATCAAGAGTAGCTCCGGTCCCTACATGGTGACATATGCGTTAGTACTTGGAATGTACTAAGTATGCGGGGTGCAACACAACAATAAACAAGGACACAATCGAAATACAAGAAATAGTTTCATAGGCATTATGAATAACAATATGAGGATGCATGATCAAAGTGAAGTCAAAACATGTTTAAGTAACTCTATACTAATAGTAGATATCATATGTGTATGCATGATCCAACCAATCTATAACCCCAACTTAGGATGGGGGATGCCGTTCACACCCGGACACCCTGGTGGCAAGGTATAAACCCCTCACATGGTTGATGTTGGTCACACCCCAAGCATCCTAGGTGGTGAGATATAAACCTCTCACATGGTTGATGTTGGTCACACCCCAAGCATCCTAGGTGGTGAGATATAAACCTCTCACATGGTTGATGTTGGTCACACCCCAAGCATCCTAGGTGGTGAGATATAAACCTCTCACATGGTTGATGTTGGTCACACCCCAAGCATCCTAGGTGGTGAGATATAAACCTCTCACATGGTTGATGTTGGTCACACCCCAAGCATCCTAGGTGGTGAGATATAAACCTCTCACATGGTTGATGTTGGTCACACCCCAAGCATCCTAGGTGGTGAGATATAAACCTCTCACATGGTTGATGTTGGTCACACCCCAAGCATCCTAGGTGGTGAGATATAAACCTCTCACATGGTTGATGTTGGTCACACCCCAAGCATCCTAGGTGGTGAGATATAAACCTCTCACATGGTTGATGTTGGTCACACCCCAAGCATCCTAGGTGGTGAGATATAAACCTCTCACATGGTTGATGTTGGTCACACCCCAAGCATCCTAGGTGGTGAGATATAAACCTCTCACATGGTTGATGTTGGTCACACCCCAAGCATCCTAGGTGGTGAGATATAAACCTCTCACATGGTTGATGTTGGTCACACCCCAAGCATCCTAGGTGGTGAGATATAAACCTCTCACATGGTTGATGTTGGTCACACCCCAAGCATCCTAGGTGGTGAGATATAAACCTCTCACATGGTTGATGTTGGTCACACCCCAAGCATCCTAGGTGGTGAGATATAAACCTCTCACATGGTTGTCCGGTTCTTTTCCCCCGGACCGGGCATGGTCATGCAACACTTTATATAGAAAATTCCCATTAGGCTCTAATGCAATCTCACGTATGGAATGAACATATACACAAGCTTAGTTTGTCATCAACACATCTCTGGATTTCCATACATCTCATAACTCAAGCTTTAAAGCATCGATTCATCAATTCTCCATAGTTGGACATTTTGTCAAACACCTTGAAGGCATGTAATGGAATCAAAGAGCATGGAAAATAGGGTAGTAATTATGCAGCCAAACCAGTGAACAACCTACAACAACACCTTTTTAACACCCACAATACCACATGAAAATCTCCACATCCATTCCAAATTTAGGTTCAAGTTCTAGGGTCACAACATGCTCAAAACAATCACTTTTCATGTTTAAAATTCAATGTGCAGGAAATTATTACAAAGAACAAGACTAATTTATGAATCTTAACTTAAACCATGAATTAGTGAGTAGAATAGAGTCTAGGCACTATGGGTGGAAGGACCCATGAGTTCAACACCACATACCTTGAGTTTTTATGAAGGTCTTGAGAGTGTCTTCAATGGAAGCTTGGAACTTGGAGCAAGAGTCTCTTCAATCTTGAGGAAGGTTTTGGATTAGGGTTCTTGAGAGAACTTGAGAGAAAATGTGTCTAAGTATGGGAGAGGTGTTTTGGGAAATGTTTTAGAGATGGGAATTGAACTAATGGTATATAGGAAATAACATATGCCCTTTGGAAAAATGGTCCAACACTTAGAAAAAAAAAATGAGGCGGGTGAACAGTAAAAACGCTCACT